TAAAACCACCACGGCGATCCACGTCGGCCGCGCTAGAGAGGGCTCTGGAAGCTGAGTACTTGGTCCGCAGCACTCATCATTCCCAGGGGGCCGTTATCAGAGAAAACGAGGGTCCCCGCCCTGATCCCCTCGCGGCCCGCGAGTTTACACTGGGAGTTTGAAACCCTCAAACTCCTTCCTCCCATTCCCGGCGTTCGCTATTCGCCGATTCCTCCCCCGAGAGGGACCGCTTGCTCGCAGAAGGAGGCCAGCATAGCTTTCACTAGTGCCGGCGGCGAAAGGTCCTGGGGCAAATTGATTACTCGAAACTTTGCTCTGCCATTCAGTAGCAAACGTGTCCAAACACGTGTCAATCACATTCTCTTATCACTTCATTACGAAAAACCAATGAAGAACTCACTCGTAAATTAGAGGTTGAGGGGAAGAAAATGGAAATGAGGACCACAAAATGGTTCAAGGTAGAGTCGATACGACCAGATGGGGAGGAAACAACCTTGGCAGCAGAAGATAGAGTAGCAGAAGTAACTTTTAATTGTTACTTTATATCATCTTTCCTAGCAACAAATAATTTTTCTTATTGTCACATCTTTGGTTAATATCCTATCCCAACCTTCGTTTCTACCACGGTTATTCACAGATTGTTCATGTTACTTCAAGTTATTCGAATACGTTTAAACGTTGCCAAACCTAACCTTAAAATTTTTTATAAACAAATTGAATATTTTATCTTGTCACTCATCAGCGACGCTGATTGTTGATGTACATACATGTATGTTTAAAAAGTAAGGAAAGGGAGAGGTCGATTCGATCGATAGAAAGGGAATTAGTTATGCTGATGCGTGCGGAAAACTTTTAAAGTAAGTACGTGAATAAATTTGCCACGTATAATATACAATAACCATGATAGCAACGTCGTTCATTCTAGTAGTTCTTTACACGTGGTGGTTAGCATGTACTATCTAACTAGTACATTACTAACTGTATACAAACGTTTAACGGTATATTATTATCCCTTTTTCTAATTTCATCTAAAGTTGCAATATTTCAACACAACAATTACGTGCAATCTCTGAGCGCATCTTCTCCACCTCACCTTACCACGCTTTCGTGACACTTTTCGCTCGCACATTTACCCCCCCCCCCTTGCCCCGTAATCGAGCTACACTCGCTGACTCGACATGTTTCCTCTAAATGAGCATCACTAGCTATTGTTACAATCGCAATTTCAATCCGTTATTCTTTTAATGACAAGCTTTCCTAAGTACTTACGTGTTGCAACACCAAGATATCTCAGTCCATTCTCTCCCTCTAACCGAGCAAGTACTGTTCTCACGCGCTCTCCTCGTTCCTGTCATCGTCTGTTTCAACTGTCATAGTCACTGCACTAACGCCATCATCAACCCTTGGACGTTTTCCTTGTGTACTTTTAGATCGCACGTAAGAATTGTTTGTTCTCTGCATAGGAGGCATTCATTTGCGGAATATGGATATCGAAGATGATCCGGGGCTTGGTGCTGTCTTGCGACACTTGATACGCAGGTTGGTTCAATGTTATCTCGTAGGCGAAAGGTTTAATATCGTTGTGGATCTTTCCTACGAACGTGTGCACGTATGTACGTTGATAGAAAGAGAACGAAAGGATACTCAAGCCAGAAAGGAAAGGGATGGAAACAGAAAGACGGAGAAAGGGAGAGAGAGAGAGAGAGAGAGAGAGAGAGAGAGAGAGAGAGAGAAAGAAAGAAAGAAAGAAAGAAAGAACGAACGAGCGAGCGAGAATAGGAGAAATTCTAACCTCTTTACGCTAGCCTTTGTTATTATATGTATGCATTTTAATATCTACGCGACAATTCAAATTCTCAAAGCAGATGCCTACTTTCTTCGGGCAAATCGTTCCTCTTCTTCTTCATTCTCCATTTCCACTAAATCTCTGCACTTTTTTATTTTATTTGCAAACTCCTTCACTACCTAACCTTTCTTTTTCTTCTTCTCGTCTCGTCTTATTTTGTCTTGCCTTGTCTTGTCTTGTCTTGTCTTGCTGCTTTCTTCGTTCTCGATCACATCGTAGCAATAATTCAACGTAACCGTTCACTTTTCTATCGTTACAGCGGTCAACTCCCCATCATATCTTCGGATCATGATGACTCGGATGAAGAGTTAATGGCTGCTCCAATACTTTCAACAATCACCACTTTGCCAAAGACATCCAGACTAGATGTTTGTTCAATTATAAATACGCGATACGATTGCTTTTGATCGTTGTTTCACAATTCTCTCTCTCTCTCTCTCTCTCTCTCTCTCTCTCTCTCTCTGTGCGTTTGTTTTTGTTTTAGAAAAGCGAAATAAGTTTTACCACCAAACAAGCATGCGGCTTTATAGACAGTGCTGATAAGTGCAATCTTTCTATAACATCCATGATTCAAAAAAGAGCACTAGGTCCTAGTTTCACGACAGGAGAAAGATGCAGAATAAGCAGTAGTTTTTTACCAGATGACAAGGACCAAGTTGCTAAATACAGTAGCAAAGCATTTTGTGGTTCTTACACTAAAGATGGAAGATTTTTCTTAACTGCCTGTCAAGGTAAATCGTGGCAATTGTTTGTGTCTACTCTAGGAGAAAAGCTATTCCTTACGTACATGTACATATTTAGATTTCCAGTTTGTCTGTCTAACGTTATAAATCTTCCCAGACAAATTTCTACGTCTTTACCGGACACATGGTGGACACTTTGTAGAATTTAAAAAGATTCCCGCACGAGACGTGGGTTGGAGCATCCTCGACACAGCTTTTAGTCCTGATGGCAATTATATCGTTTACTCCAGTTGGTCCGAATGTTGTAAGTACACAGCACATATATTCCTCTTCATCTCCATCTCCATTTCCATCTGCTTTAACTTTGTTTTTTCTTTTCAGTATACCTATGCCCTGTTTATGGAGATTCAAGTGCGCAAGAAACGTTGTCCCTATGCCCAGAGGATCGAAGATTTTGCGTATTTTCCCTCGTATTCTCCAGTGATGGACGAGAAATTCTGGGTGGAGCAAACGATGGTTATCTTTATGTCTATGATCGAGAATGTCATCAACGTGCTTTCAGGGTTTGTAGACACGAGTATCATTCGTACGTATAGTGCTCCATACTATACGACACCACACCAACTTTATTGCCAGTTGATTTTTTTTGTCTAGATCGAAGGTCATGACAATGATGTAAATACAGTTGCCTTTGCGGATAATACATCGCAAATTTTATACAGCGCTGGCGACGATGGCCTATGTAAGGTATTTGCTCTCTCTGTTTATCTTCAGATTAATTCGTAAACTCTTTTTCTTGCTTTATTCATTATCCACTTTACGCTTTTTTCTCTCTTGCGCGCTTTGAACCTCGCTTACTCGCACGCACTCACTCACGTACATGTCGATCGACGTATTTTTTCTTCTACTACCTTTTCATCCCCCCACTCCTCCATCCCTGCATCCTTCCATCTGTTCTCCCGTATTGTCATTTTCGGACTCGCATAGGTCTGGGACAGAAGAACTTTGAACGAAACTGATCCGAATCCCGTCGGAGTATTGGCTGGTCACATGGATGGTATTACGTATATCGATCCGCGTGGCGATGGTCGGCATTTAATCACCAACAGTAAAGACCAAACAATCAAGTTGTGGGACGTGCGTGCCTTTTCGAATCATAACGCCGTACAAAGTATACGTAGAGCAGTCCGAAATCAAAACTGGGACTATCGATGGCAAAGTGTACCAAAGCGACGTAATTAACTCTCGAGTGAACCATATACTGTCTATGTTACCCTAAAAATTGTTTCGCTTATCAGCATTTTTTGCTTCTCGATACAGGGTACAAGGCGAGAAATATGTTGGAGGGTGATACTAGCATCATGACCTATCATGGTCATTCCGTTCTTCAAACTTTAATACGTTGTCATTTTTCCCCTTCGTTTATAACTGGCCAAAGGTACATATATACTGGATGTGCTGCAGGACGAGTAATGAGTAGGTTTCAATTTCACTCTTTACCATTAAAATTAAAAGCATCTCGTTGTTGTTCACACACCATCTTCTTGTTCAAATTGATGTGCATTGTGTATTATAACGAACCATTTCTATTTCGTTTCAGTCTACGATGTCTTAACCGGTAAGGTAGTTCGTCGTTTAGAGGGACACAGCGGATGTGTACGCGACGTTAGTTGGCATCCATTTCATCAGGAGATCGTTTCCACGTCTGTACGTATAATGTGTCTGTACACACGTATAAAATATACGTGCACGAGAAATAAATATTTATTATTTGGCGAGAGATGAAAATATATGAGATTTCGTTTGTTTTAGTGGGATGGTGCAATCTTGAGATGGCGGTATTTTGAAGCGGCGCCACTCTGGTATTCCGACTCAGAGGAGGAAAGTGACGGTGAATCGTCTCCGCGAAGTACACGGCGAAGTATACAAAAAGCTGCTCAAAGATTGGAACGCGCGGTACAGCGTGTCGAGTCTCAAAGATGGCAACCGGGAAACTGAATGTTCTCAGTAGTACTTCAGTCTTTTCGTTCTTACAAGGAAAGAGTTAACGCGCCTAAGATTACCGGGCAGAAGAACAGTTTTGCATCGATGACTATTTTCATCGACATTCGAGAGACTAACTTTTTCTACAAGACTGAGTTATCGTTGAATATACACACAGAATCACTGCTGCTGCGATTCTGATCGTTATGAGAATACACGGCATTCGGACGCGGTACGCATATTCATTAATGAAATGAGATGCGGAGATAGTACCGACTACGCAACTCTCATTCTCTCACTCTCTTATATCGAGATGATATCGTTCTTTCCTCTATATTTATCGATATCTCTCCCTCTCTCTTTCTCTGTCTTTTAGCCCTTTTTTTTTGCTTTTACCTTTCTCTTTTCTTAGTTTCTTTTATTTCGCCTAAAACCCAAGTGGAAGGGAACGCGTTATTTTTTCACACGGGAAAACAGTGAAACGTCGAAAGGACTTGTGCACCGCGAGTACTCGAGCCTCTAGCGGTCACGAAAGCCCCTTTCTTACGAAGGGAAGATTTTTCTCTCACACTTCTCTTCCTGGTTACAGCCTTCAGCTCTCCTCTTCTATCCTCTGTGTCCTCTGCACCTCCTCTTTCCATCCATTTATCCATCTATCGATCTATGATAGAAAGTTTACGCGAGAAAAATGTCTTCGATTTGTATCGCATCGATTTTAGAAAAACATTTTGATGAACGGGAGCAGTATGTAGTAGGTATTTCAATAATTACACGTCACTGCTTCGAATCTTCGATTCGTCGAAATATGGTTATTTTCACAAAAACAACACCAGATGTAACAACAACTTGATACTTTCCTTCGGATGTTTATTATATATTATATATGTAATAAACGAGAGATAACGTATATCGTTATATATAAAATATACAATCAATATTGATAAAAGTTTACCGATAATAAAAAATGAAAGATGAGAATGAAAAACATTAATAAGAGAAGAACATGAAGGAGCTGCGGCTACCATCGCAGCAGTTTCTTTTTTTTTTTTTTTCAAATTGACCAAAAACGAAAAGGACGTTATTGTGTACATTTTCCAGTGTACGTATTTTATTAGATATGTTTAAATGTTGCGTACGAATTCCCAAAAATGTACAGATATACATATATGTGTATAAATATATATAGAAACGTCACAGAAAAACGCGCATGCGCGGATACGACGCCTACACTTCTCGGTGTGATGATTATGTGTATATATATACATAATGTTATACTAAACATGATACAAATAAATTACTAAAAAATAATGATACTGCGTTTTCGTTTGCCACGATGTACGATAATTTGCACAGATCGATCGATACTAACGAGATGCAGCCGTGATCTCCCTACTGACACACGGTAAAAAAGTGAAAATTGGTGACTTTGCGGTGCGCATGGGTAGGTAACGGGGCGGTAAATAAAAATTTCAAGTTGAAAAGGGAATCGAGTTAGATTCTGTTCCACTCGTTCTTCCCTGTACTTATCAGGGCTGGTATAATATACGTGATAACGTAATAATCATCGAACGTTCCCAGGGGAAGCCGTAAAAGAGTTCTCGTTCTTATCCATTTATAGCTGTGAAATGCACACGTATTTAGAAGCCAGAGTAATGGCTGACTGTGCGCTACGAGATTTCTTTGTATCTTTTTATCTCGATATGTAATTATATTTGCTCGTGTTTTGCTCTGGCAAATATTCACATCCCTACTCACTCCTGTCCTCATTCCCAATCCCGTCCTCGTCGTCCCTGTGAGAACAAGAATACACTTTGGTTGCAAAATTTTCATGCCAACTATTATATTCCTTTTTGTTGTTTCGACAGAGAGATATGTACGTAGGGATACGATAAGGAGAGACAAAAGGAAACATACGATGAAGGTGTCTGTCGCAAAATGTTAAAAATACAGAGGCAATTAGCTAGTAGATAGATTTACACAGGTGCAATTGCATTTCCTTTAATGGAGTAGAACAAAAACGGAAGTGCCATTACGAGAAATGTATTTGTATCTACACAATGGGGGCAAGAATGCTTTCGTTCTAATGCGCGTTCGGCCTCGAAACAAGACTTTGGAGTTTGCCTAACATTTCCAATTACACAAATTACAATTCCCCTTCTCTCTCTCTCTCTCTCTCTCTCTCCCTTTTTCTCTTGAGCCATATTCTGGATATCGTTGTTGAGAAAGCAGCTAACGAATAATCGCGTGTTTCATTCGAAATGTTTTCATCGTCTTTTGAACATCTGCAAAGGAAACTATGGCAAAAGAAAGGTAATAAGAAAAAAGAAACGGGGAAGAAAAGCGTGTAATGTTCATATTTGATAAAAATTGATAAAAATCAAACGGGGCGTGTGTTCGTTTCGAGTGATGTCGCGAGGAAGTGATCGGATCGAAAAGACAAGGGTCCGGTGCTGCGTGACGATATCGTAATGACGGTAGCGACGGTGGTCGGTGGCCGGTGGTCGGTGGCAACGGCCAGGAATTCCGTCTCCCCCGGAGGTGACTTGGCTATCCACGTGCCATACAACTCCGCTAATCGATGTAAGTCGATAAAAGGTAGAGATTAGACTTGCACAGTCTTCGTGGCGGAGAGAGGCCGATCGTAAACCGTCAGTCGCGCGCGACGATCATCGCTTTCAGAACGTTTGAATCCTCTTCTCTCTTTTCGCCATTTTCATAACCGGGCGACATAACAGCAGATTTGAATTTCAATTGGAATTTGAATTTCAATCAAATCTGAGGTGAGTCGAAAATCTAAATTCGTCTCAACAGAGGAAGAACGAAGAAGGAAGGAAAAGAAAGGGCGAGGGTGAGCGGTAGGAGCGCGAGTAACCATGTTCGCCGGAAGCGAATCGCGTGCTCGGTATTTTCGTAAACCACGTATACGGTGTCGCGTAGTCGATCGTGAAACGGTTTCGCTCTTTACAACGATCTTACGTCACGCGAACCTCCCTCTTTCGTCTTTCGTTTCGCACCCCAGACTGTTGGTGTCGAGTTGCTCGAGTTACCGCGCGAAACAAACTCGACAATCTCTGGTTATTTGACATGGCACATAACACACAGTACATACATATCAGATAATCAAATGGGGACACATCGTGCGTTCTCCAACGTGGATGTGTACATAATTATACGTACAGATAAACACGGCAACTAGACACACGGGCAGAACGTGAAAAAAGGGCGGGGCGGAGGGAATTGGTGCGTGTAAAAGAGGGATAATGAGAACAATGAGTAGACGACAAAGTATACGAAATTGCTCAAGGAGAAGATGTGTCGGCGGG